AATGTCTTATGCTTATCACTCACAAATTAACGGTCAAATTGAGGCTGTAAACAAAGTTTTATAGCGGTATCTTAGAGCCTTTGTTCACAGTCAACTGAAGCAATGGTAAAAATATTTACATTAGGCATAATTGCTTTGTAATACTACCAAACACTCCTCTACATGTCTCACTCTTTATGAGATAGTTTACAATAAACTCCCTCAATCTCTGTCTTAGTACGTAAGTAGGTACTAGTAGAAATAAAGCTATAGATGCTAAAATGTCCAAATGCATAACTTTTTTTAGAAGTTGCATTCTAAATTATTAAAGGCTCAAGAAGCTATGAAATTGTATGTTGATCAAAAGCATATTTCTCGTCCTTTTTTCTGTTAATGATAGAGTTTTCGCTAAGCTAAGACGTTATAGACAAATTTTAGTTGGGTGGTCATGAGTTTAAAAGTTGGCTCAACGATATTATAGACCTTTTCATATTAGTAGGCATATTAGGGAAGTTTCCTTTGAGATGGAATTATATGAGGGATCCAAATTGCATCCCATTTTTTCATGTTTCAAAGTTGAAGACATGTTATAGGGATTTACCTCATCTCGCTTTACCTCTTCCTTTTGATAATTACAATAACCAACTAAAAATTTTAGCTTTTGACTATCTTGAATTGACATAATTTAAATGATCCTATTAAGGCTCAAGTGTTGGTATGCATCTTGGGAGTTTCTCTCTGAGTTTATGACTAAGTTTCCTCATCTCCATCTTGAAGACAAGGTTTTTGTTCAAGAAGGGAGGGATGTTATGTTGTGTTGAGTTGTAAATGTCATTAGCTAATCTTGCTATATGAATGTAAATATTTTTAATTCAATAAAAAAAAATATTTTTCTCTCTTTTAGATTGTGGAGGAAGTCTTCCCTCAAAGAAAGACCTTAACATAGCAATTTAACTCAAAATTAATATCTATTAAAGCAACTTATAATGAAAAAAGAATTTATCAGTTAAATAAATCTAATCTAGATACAAATATTTATTTTCAAAAATATGAAAATAGAACTTCAAGGAATTAGCTTAGTAGAGTAAGCCAATTCCCCACTTACAAATAAATCTTAATTTTGTGTAATGCTCTGAATTTTGTAATGATATTTTGATTATTGATATAAATTGTGAATTTCTATTTGAATATGCATTTTGATTTATTGTGTGATATAAATATGTGTGTGAATATATGTGGATAAATATGTAAGTATAAATGTAAATGTTGATTATGGATTGAGATTGGATGTGTTTGGACAGATTGAAATTATAGGCTAAGAGTGAACTGTAGAGAATTCTTGCTGTAGCGAGAAGGTCTTAGGTGAGTGGCATGTATCAGTTGCATTCTCGCTGCAGTGAAATGATCTCGCTATAACAAGATTATGTAAAAATCAGAGTGTAATTTTTTATGATATTTTCGTTGTAGCGAGAAAGGGTCCCACTATAGCGAGAATATCGCGAATCCTAGGATATTTGAGAGGTTTAGGATTTGAAAAATTCATTTCTCACTTCTCCCTTCAAACCCTCTCTCGATTTTCTCTATCCTCAAACCATTTTCATCGATTAGATTGCCTCCAAGCCGGTTGTGCACTAGATTGAAGGTTAGAATCACACTTAGAACATTTGGAGGTAAGTTTTGAGAGCTAGGGTTTCAACTTTTTGTCCATTTCTTCATTTTCTCATATTTTTATGGAGATTTTTCATGTATTTAGGATGAAGCACTGTGTGGGGAAGATTCTCTACTGGTATTTTGTATTGGATCTTCATTTCGAGGTAAAGAGAGACTCTACCCTACCTCTTTGGGTTTGAAATATGTTTATAATGTTAGATAATGAATGTGGTTGAGATACAGTGTAAGAAAAACGTGTATTTTAATGCAAATTTCATATGAAGTATGATATGGTAGTCATTGGGTGATTTGTGTGATGAAATGAATTTGTTTGACATACGGTTGTGATGGAGATTGTATAATTAATTAAAATATGATTGAATATGTATGGACGTGCCATTTGATGAAAATGAATACCATGATTTGATTAGGAATGTGAACAAATGTGGGTGGAAATAGCATGAACATGAGTGTGATTGTGATTGAGAAATGTTAGAAACTATGAATGATTACAGTGATACACTAAGGGTGTGAAAGATGAGGGCAGTAGAAATATCTTGAAGAAGAAAGGATGGTGGTGATACCAACAGTGAGCGTGGGTGCACTATAAGCCACACACTTTTCTCTTGACTCGGCATCTGACTAACACTTTTGCTAAGGGGCCCGTGACCGCACACATTGTATTGGTGAAGCAGAGCCTAACCGGCGACCATCCATGGTATGAAACTGAGTAAGTCCTTAAGGTTGAGGACATCAAGAAACTGTGATCATAGTGTCACAGTAAGCGTGGCTAACGTGCAGTGAGCACACATGTCTGTGTAGATTAATTGAAGGTGCAGTGAGCGCACTCGTGTATAAATTGATGTCATTTGATTCCGTGTACAATGAGCGTACGCGTGTAAATGATCGATATGTGATTTGATGTGCATGTTGTTGTGATGAATTGACTTATGATAGTTCAATGAATGATTTGAATTATATTATGTAATGTTTGGAACATGCAAAGTGAGTCTCTATATTTGTATGTGTGATAGTGTAAAGGACTCACTTTTACGTTTATTTTTTAGGTGATCAAAACGAGCAGCACCAGGCTCAGTGAAAAGTGTGGATGAAACTGTTATAGGACTTAGAGAATTTATTTTGAAAACTATGATGTATTAATAGGTCCTGTAGCAACAATTTGATTCAAAATTTGTAATCCATCATTATTTGGAAATACTTTATTGAACTATGTATTAGGAACCATTTTATGAAATTTATTTATTTGAAAAATTAAATGAAGGTGTTACATTTTGTATTTTATATATTAAAGGATTAAATCCCTTCATATTTTCTTTTTATTAGGATGCACTTTGAATTTAAAGATTTTTCTTACTTTAATAACAATATTATTTTTTTCTTAAAATTTTGTTTACAGGAAAAAAATGAAAATGAGTAATCATTATGTTATAATATATTAAAATAAATTTTAAAATTATATAAAGTAAAAGGAATAAATTCATAGAGTGGATACTTTATCTTAATAGTGGTATTATCATAATAACAAATTCGAATGAGTATTAAATAAGAGGAGTCTATAATCATTTATAGATGAAAATTTTCACCAATTTAGTGAGGAAGCCACTACAAATAGATTAGGTCACCACAATCACCTAAAATCTTAAGTCAATAGGTATTAAGACATCACCCTTTATATATAATTATATTAAAATAATGTGAGACTTTTTTCACTTAAGGCTTATGATGGGAACATTGTTTTTAAACTAGGAGAGAGAGAAAGAGGGTGTGAGACAGAATCATGAATCACCGTAAAGGGTTGAGTTATAGAGGTATGACTTTATGGAAAAAGATAAAGAAAGAGAGAGAAAGGTAATAAAAGTTTTGAGAGAAAGATAACAATGTAGCCTTGAAAAGAGGAGAAGAGAAAGTGAGAGTGTATAAATTAAGTAAGAAACAACTTGGTTTTATCTTTTAAATGTCATTTAACAGTGAAAATTAATATTTTTTAAACATATATTAACAATGACTTAAATGTAAAAGACTAACGTGATAATTTAAATAAATAAATAAATAATATGCACGGATATTATTAACTATAGATTAATTTGTGAATTTCTCTAAAATAAAATAAAATAAGATATGAAAAAGATAATTAATTTATTAAAAATAAAAAAATTAATAAAATATTTAATCTTTAATCGATGAAATTTATTACATGTTAAATTATAAACACTTAATTTTTAATATTTTATAAATATTTTTTTGTAAATAAAAATTTTATATAATCCTAATAAAAAGTGATTCCAAGTTTTAAGAAAAAACATAAGCATGACTGTAACCATAATAGCATGTTTAATTTTGTATCAAATTCACTCAAACATAAATATATTTTAAGGCTACAAGTTATAACGTTTAGGTTAGAATATGATTTAACAATGATTTTATTAGGTTTCTCAATTTCTCAACTTACACATACTTAGCTTGTGCATTGGGAGATCAATTCTTTTTTTACATAATTTTTTTTAATATTTAGTTCATTTTTTTTAAAAGAAAGCAAAGAAATGATTTAAAATTTGTGCTCATTTAGTGTTAGTTAAAAAATATAAAAAATTATATGAATTAAATAAAATTATCTATAATTTAATAATTATATGTGATTTCATTAACTATATAACGGTGAATTTATTTGTTCTTATTTTATTTATTCAAAATAAATAACATTTTTTTTTATTTTAGCTCTCTTGAGAGAAATAAAAGTTTTTTCAGCGTACCTAAACTTCACAGCAGTGTTTTAATAAAACTCCTAAATCTCTAGACCGACAAAAAAAAATTTCCGATGTATTAAGATATTGATACTATATATAAAATACTAACATTTTACATTAAAAATATAATAATAAATTCACCTTGTAATTTCTTATATATTCTGATATAATTTTTAATTAAAATTTATTAATTATTAATTTCTTAACTAAGATACGAATTAGTAAAAACCATAACATATTAATTTAAAAAAATTAAAATTGTTATGATAAATTATCAATAATATATTTTTTAAACACATTCTTTGTAATTGAAATATTTTTTAAAATATTGAAATATTTGTTTTGTATTTTTTTATACAATTACTGTAACTCTTTTTAAACAAAAATTAATAAGTATATTAAAAAATATTTAAAAATATTAAATAATATTTTATTAAAAATTATAATAAAAATTACCAAAATAGTGTTTATTTTTTTATTTTTGAAGGCACTGGTTAATATTTTAAAAGAATAAATAAAAATTTACTTGTGGCTGACGTGGCTGGCGACTCTCATTCGTTCAAGGAAAGAAACCTCAAATGTATAATTTCGTGGGATTGTTCCATTCTGAATAATAAACAAAACAAAATTGGAAGTTCCAATTTGGGGCTCCCACGATTTCAATTCACCCTTTTCTCCTACCACGCCCAACACCTCCGATTCTCCTTACAAACAGCGTTGCCAGGTTCGATCGTTTCTGTTCTTCATCCTTTTTGCTCCTTTTATTGATCTGCTAACTTGACATTTGATCCAACACAAGTTCGACGCTTTTTTGGTTGTAAATCAGATTTTCAGATACCCTTTTGTTCCTAATTGATGGGTTTGGTCTGGTGATTTTTATAGGTGATTGATTTAGAAGTAAATAGAGGATGGGGGCATTGATGTCGAGGTTCTGGTTCATGCTATTCCCTGCAAAAGAGTATAAGATTGTGGTAGTTGGATTGGATAACGCGGGAAAAACCACGACCCTTTATAAGTTGCATCTTGGTGAGGTTGTCACTACCAACCCTACTGTTGGTAGCAACGTTGAAGAGCTCGTCTACAAAAATATACGATTTGAGGTCCCTTCACTTTTCACTTTACTTATTTATTTATTTATTTTGTTGATCTTGCTTCGAGGGTTTAATACCCTCTATTGTTGCTAAACATATATGTATTAGTATGAGACTTGTCACTTCTTAGTCTTCCATTGGTTTGATCACTGTCACGAAATGCACGCCTTTGGTTTGGTCTTTATTAGTAAATGATAAGCTCTTAAGCAGTTAAATTATCACCACTCAAATTTAATTCTTTAGAGAATCAACCATCATAAAACATACAGAAAATACCATTTTGACTTCTACTATAATTTCTGTTAGGTTTCCATGAAAATTCTGTTTTGATGGTCCTTGGACCAGGTCCACAACTTTGTTCTAGACATTGTTTACTTCTTTTGAGTGAGTGCCAAACATATTATGAGTATTGTGCATGTTTTGGAACATGGAATCCAATGCAGAAGTTACAACTAGTTGCATTGAAGAAAACATGAATCTATGGTCATTTAAATGTGAATCCAAACACACGTGATTTTTGTAAACAACAATTTTGAAGTGAATTGATTTTTATAAATGTAGTGTTGTTTGAATGTGTTGGTAAAAATAACTTTTAGATGTTTAATTATCGGTGAAGACATAAATACTATTGAAGTGGTAATTTAATATTTAAATTATGGAGATATTTTTGTCAATGCACATGCAAATGGGTTTTCTTTTTCCACTGCAAAAGCAACATGTCAAAACAATGGTTTGGAGTGAATGCAATATTGATTCCTTACAATTTTGCCAAACATGTTGACACAATAAACAAAACATGTCTGCGTCCAATGAGCTGGCTTTTATGCATGCAGACATTTTTCCAAGCATAGACTTAATGCTTGGCAATCCATGGTTCTCTATGACTACATCCACCGATTTGGCACTCATTGCTGCTGAATGCTTTGTGCTTTTACATGAACACAGGATTAATTACACTTTGGTTTGTCTTCGGTAACAAGGGTTTTGGGAGAGCACAATGACATTTTAAACCTTTCTCCTAGTCATTTGCTTGTAATTTTTTCCCCCTGATGAAAGGATGGGTCTGGTTTCTAGACAAGCCCGATTCCTTAATGTTTTTAAACTACATTCGGTATGGATGGAATATTTCCAAGCTTTACTACTGTGCTGATCAAAGTATTACTCACTCCACTTTGTCATTCATTTCAGGTCTGGGATCTTGGTGGACAAGAAAGACTTCGGACATCATGGGCAACATATTACCGAGGAACTCATGCTGTAATTGCGGTGATAGACAGTAGTGATAGAGCCAGGATCTCTATAATGAAGGATGAACTTTTCAGGTTGCTGGGGCATGAAGATTTGCAAAATTCTGTTATTCTTGTGTTTGCTAATAAACAAGATATCAAGGATGCTATGACTCCTGCCGAGATCACTGATGCACTATCTCTTCACAGCATCAAGGATCATGATTGGCATATACAAGCTTGCTGTGCCCTCTCAGGAGAAGGACTGTATGATGGTCTTGGATGGATTGCTCAGCGAGTAACTGGCAAAGCTCCAACATGATACTGGGCTGCTTGAATCCAGGAACGAGATTCATTTTTCGTGTATTGAATTTATATGATGAGGGACAAAATCTGTATCATTTATCCTTCAAAGGGCCAAGCCAAGATAGTGTGTTTTATTTGTCATGAAGAAAAAGATTATTCAATAATCAATTTAGACTCACATTTTTCCAGAGGATGAAACTAGATTAAATTTCTTTTATTATTCCTATTAAGATTTAATATCCAAAAATGACATGTGGATACACACACGAGCATATATATATATATATATATATATATATATATATATATATAAAATTCATGGCATATTTTTGGCTATTTGATGTTAATATATATTTGTGCGTCGTTGTTTAGTTTGAAAACTTGATAAAAATAACATAAGGAATTTATCCAAACTTTGATTTTTTGCCAAATTGCTAAAAGCCTATTATTTGTCCCTTAAAGACTTCTACTCGACGCAAATTTTGTATCTCAAAAAGAAAGTAGCTGAATAGTTTCTTAAAGTTATAATATTTTATAACTTTAAAAACTAATATAACTACATTTTTTTAGGGATCAAAACATCTCCTGTATTTTTTTTTTTAAGGAAACAATTTAAGCATTCACCCATACACTAATAATAACTTGAAAGACCAAGTTTGCGATTAAGGTGGAACCAAAAGCTAATTCGTGATTATACATTGACTATATTTATCAGAGTAATAATTATATTTTGATACTCTCTTTTACGTCCTATAATTATATATATACATATTACCGGTAACATTTTTCATTTTCTCTTTTCTTCTTTTTTTCTTTTCTTCTTATTTCTCTCGTCCTTACACTCCAACAACACCCTCAAAGGGATGTCAAACTATCATTGCCCTTATTAAAGGCCTTAAAATTGAATTAGTTATATTAATTATCTAACACTTTGTCATGAGTCTCATGTTGAGGAGAATAAGTTGTTTAATATGTTTAATGTGGTATTTAAGCTTTTGAAATTCTCCTACTGGACTAGTCTTTTGGGTTGAGCTCTTTTTATGTGAGTAAGTCATAACACACTTTCTACATATTTTTATTTTTATTTTTCATCATATTAAATATTTTATTTCATATTTGTCTTTTTCCTTTCTTTTTTTCTCTCTCTCTCGGCGAAAAATTATACAATCCTCTTTTGCAAAAATCAATATTTTGAAGACTGAGTAAAAAAAATATTTCAAGAATAATAAAAAATAAACTCATTAAAACATATTTCTCTTTTTATGGAGATCACCAAAACTTAATAATGTTAAAATAATAATCAAATATATATCGGCTAAAATAATAATTTTTTAGTTTACCCAATTACTCTCTTCATTTTCTACCCATGGGCAAAAAGAGCAAAAGAAGCTCTACATTTTGCTGATTTCTCTGAAGTCCAAACATTGATCACGAATGACGAGGAAGCCCGGCACGTAGTCTATACTCGTCTATCTACTAAAGCATGATAGAAAACATATTATATTCATATCAAACTTAGCATATTCCTATAGGCATGCCATCCCTTCCAACTAAACAAACAACTGAAGCTAGCTAGTGGCACAAAGCAAGGCTAATGGTTTTGAAATAACTAACTCTTCCCTGATATGTTGGCAAGATGCAAGAAAGAATCGTATGTGACCATCACAGTTATTTTAGAGATGTACGAGTCCAAAATTTGTCCATTGTATCTACCCGAACTTCATTCTCCAATCCTCCTAGATGGGCATGCCCTTTGGAACAATTTGGTCCTTGATCCACATGTAAATTGGAACTAGTACATAGTAAGTGGCTGCTATTGCACCAAGAATGAACCGCGAGAGAAAGAACAACGGATTTACAGGCTTCTTTACATCCTCTACCTTAGGACCAAGCTGCATAAACACGTGCATAACAACGCTTAAAAATTGCACTAAAAGTAAATGTGGGGAAAAGAAGCTTCTAAACAGAGTAAATGTACTTCTTGGTGATCATTGACTTATAGTATTCATTGTACAACATCCTAAAGAATAATGTGAATCTTTTTTTTTTTCCAGTGTACAAAATGAGTATGATTCTGTAAGATACATATTTACTTTTACCTACCTCATGTCAATGTGTAAAATGCTAATCTTATTGGACAACACAACATAATCAGAAGTTCACAACACGCATCTCACTGGTAAATGTGTTCATGTATTTGACAAAATCATAAATGAATGATACCAAGAGAACTATTGCTCAATGAATTTTAACATAAAAACTAAAACTTCAGAAGAAAAAACCTTGAGAGGAGAGTCCCCAGATAAAGGCTTGACACCAGTGACAGAGCAACCCATGATGAGGCCGTGCCTTCTTACACCACGATACCATTTTGGACCTATCCTTTTCAACTTGATATCTTTAAAACCAGCCTCTTTAAACCATTCAATATACTCTTCTTCTTTAGGGAAGAGCATCCACATGTCTGCAAAGAATCGAGATAACCAGAATGTTGGGTACACAGGACCAATAACACACGCTTTGCCTCCGATTTTCAGCACTCTATACGCTTCCTTAATTCCACGTTGTGGGTCAGGCCAATATTCAATACTGAAAAACATAATCATATAAGATTACCCATTTTGTAAAAGAAGTTAACATACCATCATGAAGACTATTTTTTTTTAATCTTTGTTATTTGGCAAGTAATCATGTGGTTTAAGATTTAGTCTTTGTCGATGCTTACAATCATTATTCAAGAAGACTAATTTTTTAAATGCTTTGGTCAGATGATCATAAGACTTCAAGATTTATTTATAGCCTTAATTATAAAGCCCAATTGTGCATCACCTATCCACTATCCTATAACAAATATACATATAGTTAAAACTACGGAACAATTTAAATGCAAAATTTACCTCTTAACTCACTATCATTGAGACATATTAGCAAACCCCAAATCTTAATTGCCGTAGAGTTAGTGGTACAAAATCCTTCAAAAGGAAAAAAAAGTTGTGCCCACATATTTACCTTCCAGCAGAAATATATCGATCAGCATAATCAGTAGGAAATGGAAGATCTTCCGCATCACCTTCAATTATCTTGCATTCTTTCAAGGGTTCTTTCTGCTTAGCCTTAGCCAACTGGTGAGGGGACTGATCAAGAATAGTAACATTTTTGGCATCCACATGCTTCACTATACCGAGTGTGGTGAATCCAGTTCCTCCTCCTACATCAACCACTCTCATATTGCGGTCATAGAGATCAGCAGGCTCCAATGCATCATCTCTCATGTCTTCAGTCCAATGACCAGGGTTTATGACATGATCATACACAATAGACAAAAACCTGTAGAACCAAAATGCCTCCTTCTTGTGTTGGATGAACCTAGGCTGAGAAGCAGGCCTGAAGGATGAGACGCTGCATCTGGGTCTCAAGTTTCTGCGCTTGTATTTGTTACCATAAGACACTACACTTTTCTTTTGAAAGTTGAGACCCACTGAACCTAACCCAGATGAAGCTATGCTAATGCCACTAATGAGCTTTGTACTTTCAGCGCCACTGAGCATTTGGTAGGCCATGAAATGACAACAATGAGAAGAGTTGCAGAAATTAACTTTGGTTCATTGATTTATATCATAGAAACAAGACAAGGGTGGTTTGGAAATTGAAAGTGACGTGGAAATGGTAAGGGTTACGAAGGATTATGTAGTTAGAGATAAAGACACAGAACTTGGTGCTGCTGCAATAAATAAGTGGATATGCACCACATAACATAAGGTAGCGATGATCAGTTATTCCGGGCAGTACTATTTGATTGATGCTTGTGACTCTCTTGCTCTGTTCACCACTGAACCGTTGCCATCTCATGAAAGCTCAATTTCTTGTAATTGGTTTGTTTTCTTGGTGCAATTTAGAGGCAATGTGACTAAACAATATGGCCAAAAGTTGTAGTCAGGCATTACTATATTCATAGTCAGCATAAGATAATTGAAATTCCTCCTACAAATTAAGTGATAACTAATCCCAATTTGATGGTGAATGAGGTTCATATATCTATGCAACCATGGACTGGAATAGAGGAGACGGTTTCAATCCATTGGTCTATCACTTTGGTGGTAATGGCCCATTGATTTATCCTTCAAACAATAGTATTTCCACTGCTGCTCTTTTCGTGATTCAATATGATTTTATTTAAGCACTCTTGGCTCTTAATTCGAAATATGCTGCATTGATGAGAACAATGACACCCACAATCATCTACATATAAATATGTTTTTAAAGCATGTGACAGAAACAGACATGATTAAATATTGAATCCCAGAAGAGTCACCACCCAATAGTCAAAGGTAAATAGAGAAGCTTGGAAACAAACAGTGGAAAAATGAATAGTATCAATTATCCAAGTCTGAAGGAAAAACTAGCAGAATAATGTATCTCAAAAACTCTATGATTAGCTGTAAGATAAGTGTGAGGGAGAGAAACAAAAATATAAAACAAAGTTTGAAATCTGACTGTGATATAATAATAATAATAATAATAATGATAATAATAACTAGTTAGTATATCCATATGTACAGATATTTTATTTTAAAATAAATATATAATATATAATAAAATCTAAAATATTATTTTTTTAAGTTGTTAATAATAATAAAGAGATAATTAAAAAATATATGTAAATAGAAAAGTATAAGAGAAAAACATATAAGAATATAAGGGTAGATAATTAGTTTATTATGCGATTTAAAGGTGACCAATCAGCTACTGTCAACTGTTCATTTCCATATAATGCTAAACGATGAAGATGAATGGATAAGGTATCACATGAGCCAACTCCAGTCCAAAACAGCAATGTCAATAACAATATTTTCAAGAAAATATGATTTCATTTGCAGAAAATTAAAACAAAAATTAACAGTATGCTAAGGTTACTAAAGAAAATGTCTTCAAAGGGAATAATTAATACTAGTTGTGACGAGGACAATGCTAGCATACACCAGGAGTTCAATCAAATATTCAATCACAACGTAGCCACACAGGCTTTATTCAAGAATCAAGAATGACTAGCATTGTTTTATTCCAAAAACCACACCGACTTAAATCGTTGATCACACACACTTTACAATTTCTGATGTTAGGACAATTCAAAATTGGTAACCTATTTATATCCTATTCACATAAGATATATGATATTTTTATCATATAATAATTTTAGTATTTAAGTCTGATGATATTTATTTTTAAATTTTTTAGTATAAAATTTTTTGGATGATTAAAAAGTTAATATTATAACATGAATATAATATTTTTAGTTAAATTTGATTATGCTTTTCTAATAAATTTTTTAATAGATTAAAGATTAATTTCAAACTTATGATAGTAAACTAATACAAATATTAGATAGCTTAAAATAATTAATTAGTTAATAAAAATAAAATAATTTTTTTAATAATTTATAAAAATATATTTTTACAAAAAATTATATTTATTTTTAAATTAACACATAAATTTTCATACCACACTATACTCAATACTCTTACTCATATTTATGCAATATGATTAATCTAATTAGCTTAATTGTATTCGTAATAAACTATAATAAAAATACTTAAGTTTTAATTGATCTAAAGTAACGTAATTGACTACAGTCAAACAGTTAAAATTTTCGTCATCATTATAAATAATATAAAATTCTAAAAATTAGAAATTATTTATTCATCTAATTTTTGAAAAAGTCAGATTTTAACAGGCAACTCATTAATTAATATTAGTTAATTAATTCAAATCATTATTCCCAAAACTTGGATAAGCTAGAATCTATACAAAGGGAAAGCCCTTAAGCATCATTTATGTTCATTCTACCCTATTAAAACTTTGTTAAAATCCCTGTAGAAATGAATTTCAAAGTACATTTTTAAGAAACGTCTCTTAACCATTCATTGTCTTAAATACGAAATCGAATTTAGTAAAAAAAAAAAAATCTATCATGAAAAATTGTAACTCCCCTTAATATTTGACCTAATTTATTCTAAGTCGTATTTTATTTCTTTTAATTAAAATTTATTAAAATTACCTAATTTATTCCAGATCTTTATTAACTTCGTTGAATTTATTACCAAAATTACTTTTAAAAGTTTGTAAATATTTTTATGGGTGGTGTTATTTGCACAAAGTAGCACGTTAAATAATCGCACAATTTTATTTTATTTCGTTTTAGGAGAAAATATTGTTTTTCCTTTTTTTCATGAGCTAACTCAAGTTTTAATTATTACGTTTCTATCTTCTTTTTTTCAGCACCCGTTTTGAGTTGTCATCGAAATTGGGAGTCAAATTCAAAACTGCTTTGCTTCTGTCATCTATCCTTAAAAGCTAAACCTCACTGGGGTTAATCCCAAGATCAAGGGCAAAGCGGAAATTGGAAAGCAACACTACCCTTTTTTTTTTGTTTGTTTGTATCAACTAAAATAAAATTAAAAAAAATCATAACCTTAGCATTATATAATATAAAAAATATATAAAAATAATTTTTTATTGAAAATTATAACATTTAATAATATTAATATATTTAATTACATTAAAATTTTTTAATTTTTAATAAAAATTACTATAGTAATATACAGTATTACCCACTAACAGGCACGTGGGCACAATAAACAGAGTGAAAAGAGGGTCACCGCGTGAGTATTCTCAAAGTTGGAAAGTAGACACAAAAAATGAGAAACTCAAAAAGAAAACAGAAAAGTAGCTTTGTTCCCAAAAACGACAACGTAGTAGAGCATCAACACAACACTTGAAGTCAAGTTTTGTTTTTTAACCCCACATTCCGTCTCAGAACCGCACAACCTTTCTCATTCTTTACCAAACTCACTTGTCACCTGTCTCTGTCTCTGTCTCTGCGTCTTCAGTACGATTTCAGATCCTCCTTTGTTGTTTTCAGAACCCACCCTTCTTCTACTTTCATAGCCAACGCTTGATGGGCTCCATCAAGATTTCTGGGTCATCCTCGTTTTCCTAAAAATGGAGTCTTTGCACTCGATCACTTCTGTTTCATAGGTTTAGTGGTTCATCGACTGTGTGCAAACTAGGGATTTTTCATTGCAACCAGTTCAGCTTCAGAAAATGCAATCGGGTGGGGTTGAATCGGGAAGCCCTGTGACCCACAGGGTTCAGTCTTTGTCTTCAGCAGATACGAGAGGGAAACATAGGATACATGCTGAACTGAAACGGTTGGAACAAGAAACAAGGTTCTTAGAGGTACCTACTTCATCATCATCATCGTCATGTTTTGGAGCTTTGTTAATTGGCTGGGGATTATTTTCTTTTTGTTTGTTCTGTCTCTGTGTCTTTTATTGGCCTTTTGCATTTTGATGGGTTGCTTTTTGTTCTTCTATGTGTATGGTAAAGTGGATTGGGAAAGTTCTTAACTATTCTTTGTTGTCGTGTCGGTATTGTCAGAGACAAATCGCATCTGTGAAGTTGATAACATTGCCAATTTTGGAATATAAATTATCATTTTTTTTATTTAGTTGATTGCTGGGTATTCTTCTGTCACTGGATTTATGAGCTTCGTTTATGGAAAAACAAAATTAAGCAAATAATGTTCAGATAGCTCATAGCAGAGAGACATGTTACCATCTTCCATGAACCTCTGAGTGTGAGGTGGTCTCTTGATATTTAAAAGGGTAGTTGTTTTGTGCATGGTTCTCTGATCTCCGAAGATACACACATCAAATTTGGTACTCAATAGATTTGTGACATCAAATCAGTACTCCAAATATTTAAAGTGGCATCAAAATGGTTAACGTTGACGTCAAACATAGGCTTGGCATAACGATCATTTTGACATATTTCTAAATCTTGGGAGTAAGGAGGACTAATTTGATGTTGCTAATCTATGAAGGATCAGATTGGTGTCAAGGGTATCTTTGGAGGAACTTTTTGATAGTTTGGTTATTGTTTTCCCCAATGAATATTTTCTGGTAATCATAATGATTTGGTACAGTTACACTACGCAGTTATAGTTAACAGCATTGGGGTTTCAATTATCAATTATTCTTCTTAGTGAAAAAAAATTGTTTTTAGCTTGCAATTTTTCACTTTAGAAAGCAGTGTGAACGTTCTGCTGAAGATGCACCAACTAAATTCTTCACTTAGGACGCTTCACTTTACTATGATTGATAATATGTGGATTAATCTACCTATATGCATTGTCAATTTGTCATTACAGCAACAGAAGCTTGATGATTGGACTGATATAACTAAACCTGTTTACCATTGAGTTGCGGTTTGGACGACGTCGCATTTTCATGTTGTGGAAACTGCCAGAAAGTCCATTTAGTTGCATTAAGGGGCACAGATTTTCTTTGAGATGGGTTTAATTGACAATTTATTTTATCACTCTTTTGTTGGTGGGAAGCTTTATTTCAAATGGCAGTAGAATTTTAAAAGATCATACATTATCATAGAATAATTCTAGATCCTCCTAACTATTAAATAACTTTTATATTTTCAAGATAGTAAATGTGCATGCATTTTCATTAAATATTTACGCTATAAATAGTAGGCTGTAGGCGGGTTATTAGGAGGATTTGTATGAGGATATAGCAAAACTCATTATTGTGAAAATGGAATATGCACGTGGTCAAAATTTTATTGGAGGGAGGGATTGGCTGAAACTGAGCTCTTGTGTTATGCTTATTTGGAGAGTTGCCATGGCGTGAGGGAGAGAGACTAAAATCTTTCTCTTCATAGTTGTATCAAAGTGTCCGGGTCTTAATAACTTATTGTAGGTCACCTTCACTGGTGTCTATGAAGTATGAACAGAGACAACTGTTTGAAAAATTTATGAAATTTTCTATATTGCAAATTTTATGTGGTTTTTCCAAATGTTGCACATGAACTTTAGTATTATCTGGGTGTGTACAAGTGTTTTTTTGCTTTTTGATAATATTTCCTTAGTCAACACAAATTAGAAAGTTGGAGAAATTTAACTAGTCTACCTCAGTATAGTATAATTGCAAATGCAATTTACATTGGCTTAATACCTTCTTTGTTAGATTAACTGAAGAATGTATACTGGAGGTGGGGGGTGATAATTTCAGTAAATAGGCACTCCATCCTTTCCAATATAAGTCTTGCAGTTTGCATTTGGTTCTTATCTATTAATTGTTTATTACTTCCCCGTTTTGATTCGTAATTTACTATTATAAGCATCAATAATTGAAATGTTTCAGATTTGGTTTTGGAAATAATTGAGATTCCATTTATCAAATAGCAAATTTATTATGGGACAGACTACAGAGGGAATATGATTTATCACTAAGCTCCATACAATTTTATAGTACCTCTTTTATTGTGGCACAGGTTAGATCATGAATTCTAAGTTTTGTGACCAATTAGAAGTCAAAATTTGACATTTTAGATCACTTCCAAGTAGATATTCTATTGAATTGGGGAATGAGAGAATGCTCTAAGAACTTTATTTAGATATTGACTAAAACAAACTAAAGTTAGACCCTGCTCCCATCAGATTGGGGGATTGTCCAACTGAAGAGACCGTTGCCACTTGCCACCACCTTTTTTAGCTCCTGTTCTGCTTGGTTAAGAATGTGCGATTAAGTAATCATCGTTAAATGTTTGGAGAACTTGCAAAATTCTGTGCTATTAACTTCATCTTTGCCAAGATGTTTCACTGGTCCCCTTTGAGTCTTTGACTCATTTGGTGATTTGCCAGCAATGAGTAAATTTGATGAGGGGGCTACTTTTAACAGCTGTCTCAAGTATGATTGTCATGTCTAATAACTTTTTCATGCTCTGAAGTATATTATCAATTTCTTACCTAGTTAAGATGATTCTGCATCCGTCATGAGGCCCATTGCCCATTTCATCCTAGGAGGATAGAAAGAAGTGAGCATTAACGTATTGATTGGTTTTTTTTATTTCCTTCCGTAAGTGGCCAATTGCATAGATCACTTCTAAGTGGGTAGGACTGTGGGAGTGGGACTCGGAGGATTAAAAAATTGTTGGACATGCCAGTGAAACTACTTCCTGTTCCGTTATATAAATAGCAGTTTTTTTATGCAAATATTTTGTGCTGCAAGTGCTTTAATATTCACTCTAAAACAAATGCAGGAAGAGCTGGAACAACTTGAAAGGATGGAGAAAGCGTCTACACCGTGCAAAGTGTAAGCTTATGAGCAAAAACTGATTTGATCATGTATAATTGATGTCAGTTTAACTTTGATTTTCCATCCTGTGTTTATTTTGCCAGAATACTAAGCAATGTGGAAACAAGACCTGATCCATTACTACCATCGTAAAATCTCTTATGTGAACTTCTTGTATTTATGCTGCAACCTCGTTTTCTTTGATATGTTTTTGTAACAAAAGATCTATTTTTTCGGTTTGACAGAACAATAGGTCCCTTAAGTCCTACATGGGATAGATGGTTTGAAGGCCCCCAAGATTCCAAAGGCTGCTGCAAATGCTTGATTCTCTGATGATCAACGCTAAATGGCATAGTTCTACATTTTCCTCCCTTTCCTTAATCCCAGATTGGGCTAGAAATTTTGAGTTCTCAAACAATATTGTTATTGGCAAATTGTCGTGAATGCCTCCATGTGCAGATTACACCAAATGCATAGTTTTTATGTTTCAGGTGACAACTTAATTGCTGAGATAATTATCAACCTTTGTTGACGACAGTATATATGTATATATATATATATATTTTTTTTTTTTTCATTGCAAATCTTGTGGAATAAGAATGACCGTAGGGACTTCTTGTTCTTAATCATTTTGGTTAACGACATGCTCAATTTCACAAATTAGCTTGGCTCTTTTAAGTATAAATGTTGCATATAATCTGTTCCTCGTCATATAAATTCAAATGAAAAATGAATCTGCTTCCAGCAACCCAACATCATGGTGGGGCTTTGCCAGTTACCCGTTGTGCAATCCATCCAAGACCATCATACAGTCCTTCTCCTGAGAGGGCACAACAAGCTTGTATATGCCAATCATGATCCTTGATGCTATGAAGAGATAGTGCATCAGTGATCTCGGCAGGAGTCATAGCATCCTTGATATCTTGTTTATTAGCAAACACAAGAATGACAGAATGTTGCAAATCTTCATGCCCCAGCAACCTGAAAAGTTCATCCTTCATTATAGAGATCCTGGCTCTATCATTGCTGTCTATCACTGCAATTACGGCATGAGTTCCCCGGTAATATGTTGCCCATGATGTCCGAAGCCTTTCTTGTCCGCCAAGATCCCATACCTGAAACGAACGACAAATTGGAGTGAGTGATACTTAAGTCCTGTATGGTATGAAAAGTTTGGAAATATTCGTGCCAAATGTAGTTTAAAAACATAATTGTTATGAAAATAAAAAATAACTGGCTAGCAAAGGATTCCCGAAACCTAAAGAAAAGTAGAAAAATAAATGTTACCAACTGGCATCTCTTCCTTCGTTTCCTTTCACGATAGGTTCAAAAGAGGGAAAGGGAGAAATTTTAATGGATGAGAAGAAAAAAAACTGCCTTTTAGTTTTGTTGCAAGGAAAAGAGCGTGGAAATGTGGATAATATAGTGTTATATTTTTGTAAATATTAATGGTGTAAAGTGGTAGAACAAAATCTCAAGACAATTTAGTCAACATAATCAAACAAATTATAAACCATTTTTCATTCCCTTCCATGTTTTTTGGTTAGAAGAAAATAAGAGGACAGGAGGAGAGAAGAGTTTTCTAATTTTCAGGTTTGGTTCAACAGTTTGGAAGGGAGGGGGGAGGACTATTTTTTTTTCTTTCTCTCGATGCTATTGTGCTCTCCCAAAAACAACTGTTTACTGTGGCAAAGGGTTCAGTAATGGGATCATCCGTGTTGGTACATAAACAACTAGGGATCAAAAACATTCGAATGCCAAATGGTGGTCGGAATTGTGGAGAATCAAGGGTAGCCAAGCATATCCACGAGACTGAGACACGAGACAAGGATAGCAACTAGCAAACAATGTCCATGACAAAGTTGTGACTCTGTCCTAGTATCTTCAAAACACAACCATCGAAATCAAACAGACGTTATGTTTTTACCCGTATTATAATGTTTGTTGGATGCTATTGGGAATTAAATTTGAGTCCTGATGAATTAAGCTGCTTGTAGCCAATAAACCTTTGAAATTACTAACAGAGGTAAAAGACTACATTAAACCCTTGAAGCAAGATAAACATATTACAACAAAATAAATAAATTAAGTAAAGTATTGAGTTAAAGACCTCAAATCGTATGTTTTTGTAGACGAGCTCTTCGACGTTGCTACCAACAGTAGGGTTGGTAGTGACAACCTCGCCTAGATGCAATTTATAAAGGGTCGTGGTTTTTCCCGCGTTATCCAATCCAACTACCACAATCTTATACTCTTTTGCAGGGAATAGCATGAACCAGAACCTTGACATCAATGCCCCCATCCTCTATTTACTTCTAAATCAATTACCTATAAAAATCACCAGACCAAACCCATCAACTAGGAACAAAAAGGGTATCTAAAAACCTGATTTTCAACCAAAAAAGCGTCGAACCTGCGATGGATCAAAACGTCAAGTTTGCAGATCGACAAAATGTGCAACAAGCACGAAGAACAAAATCGATCAAACCTGGCACCGCTGTTTCTGATTAGACTGCGGAGGGAATCGGAGCTGTTTGATATGAGAATTGGAATCGTTGGAAATGACGCAAAATTTGGATTTGTGAACGAAAATTGTATTATGATTTGGTTTCCATGGAAGAAAGGAACTGAGTGGTGGGGATATAAAATTGAGATTTGCAGCAATGACGTGGAACGCATTGATGTCAGTGACAGCGTGGTGTCTGATCGCTGAGTCACCAGCTTGCCTTCTCTTTTTATTTTTCATTCTGAGTCTCACATTAATTTTTTGAAAAAATACCATTGACCAACTGTAAATTATGCAAGCTGAGTTCAAAATGCAATTTGTTTAGCAAAATCAAAATATATGAGTGGTTTAATTTATTTTTATTAATTCGATTACTTCTATTTCAAGTATTTGTGCAAGTTTGTGACATAAGGGACAATTGGTTTCTTAACACCGGTGAAATATATGACATAATCCATGCACTTGGCTAATTTTATTATGTTACGTGTGAATGGGCTTTATCTTCTTTGGCTTTATCACTGGAGAAACAATGTTACGGAGAAACAAATGTGAAACTCTGCAACCCAATTCAACACATTTCTCAGTTTTAAGTTTTTTTTCATAAAACTATTTTTAAAATTTTATAATTTTTGTAATTCTTAATTCTTAAAATATAATACTAAATTTTAAGTTACATTATATACATCATTTTACTATTTTATTATACTTTGTCAATAATAAAATATCAATGTAAATAATAACAGTTATAATAATTAAAAAATAATAACAAGCACAATTAACTATGACAATTATAATAATAATGTTGATAATAATAATAATAATAATAATAAATATTATGATAATAATAAAATAACAATTAAAAAATATAGTTAATGTTTTATATTTTTAAGCGTCACGTATATTTTATATTTTAATTTTAATTACTATAATAATATTCAATGATTAAGATTTATTTTTAATTTTTATATAAAATGATTTTCATTTAACTTGTTCAGATAAATATTCTAAAAATTATTTATTAATTTCATGATTAATATTTTTTAAATAATTTCTTATGCTGAAAATAAATTTCATAAATTAGTGTTAATAAAACCATAAAAAAATGTTAAGACAAATATTATTATGATATTTGATCTAAAGCCCTTTATTTACCAAGAGAGAAAAATATAAAATCTCAAATATTTTAAAAATTAAAAATACTTATTATATTCTAATAGAATATTAGCTTCGCTGATTATTTAAACTTAAATGAGTAATAACAATAAAAACTATTAAAAGAGAAGTGTTTATAAAAATTTAATATTTAATGTAATGAATATATTATTTTTTGTTAAAAGTTACTATTTTTAAATATTTAAACTAAATCATAAAAATGAATGTTAATAATTAGTAACATAATTGAGCATATTTTGATTAAAGTTTCTCTTCTTCTTCTTCTTTTGTTTTTGTTTTTGTTTTTGTTTTTTTTTATGTTTTCTCTAATACATACTTTGTGAAATCCTTGAATTATAGAAATAGGGCGTGTTAGTGTGTTACACACGTAGCCTGCATCCTAATAGCTTTTACCCTAACGTTAGAGACAGCACAGCACAGACATCGTTGTTTCCGCGGTTGGGTTTAGGGACTTCGATAATAACGAAACACACTTTCGTTCCATACTTCGTTCTCTCCGCCCAACCAACATTAACACCCACTCACCACCGCCACCACAAACGCCACCGCCGCCACCACCACCATGTCCGTGTCACACTCCCTCCAACTCCACCTCTTCACCCCACCCCACACTACCATCCCCTCCCACTCCCACTACCACTCCCACCTTCCAATCTCCAAACTCATCCTGCCCCGCCGCATCCCGCCCCTGCGAGCCTCCTCCTCCGCGCAGGAAGCCATTGTCTCCGACAACAACGGCGCCCCCGCTCTCCCTTCCGATCTGAGCTCCATCGAGGTCGACGCCGTGACGGAGGCCGAGCTGAAGGAGAACGGCTTCCGAAGCACGCGCAGGACGAAGCTCGTCTGCACCGTGGGCCCCGCCACGTGCGGCTTCGAGCAGTTGGAGGCTCTTGCCGTTGGAGGCATGAACGTCGCGAGACTGAACATGTGCCACGGCACCAGAGAGTGGCACAAAACCGTAATCGACCGCGTTCGAAGACTGAACCACGAGAAAGGCTTCGCCGTTGCCATCATGATGGACACTGAAGGCAGTGAGATTCACATGGGTGATCTCGGTGGCGCTTCCTCTGCCAAAGCCGATGTATTTCTCGTTTTGCCCCTCTGCTTCTTCTTTTTCCGTTCATTGTTTCTTCAATGCTTGCTGTGTTGCAGGATGGTGAGATCTGGACTTTCAGTGTTAGGGCATTCGACTCTACTCTTCCACAACGCACCATCAATGTCAATTATGATGGTTTTGCTGAAGGTTGATTTTATTAAATGTTGAATTTTATTTAATTTTGGATGGAATTGTGTTGAGATGGAATTGGAATGTGATGTGGCTTGGCAGATGTGAAAGTGGGGGATGAACTATTGGTAGATGGAGGAATGGTTAGGTTTGAGGTGATTGAGAAGATAGGTCCTGATGTCAAGTGCCTTTGTACTGATCCTGGCTTGTTGCTGCCCAGAGCCAATCTTACTTTCTGGAGGAATGGTAGTCTCGTTCGTGAAAGGAATGCCATGCTTCCTACCATTTCTTCTAAGGTTCCCTACTCCTTTGCCTCTCACCTTTCATGTTTGTTGCATGTATTATTGTCTTTTGTTTTTTACCCAAGTAATGAAAATTTCAATTTGTTTGTTAACATTAGAGTCCTTTTTAATGATTTCTCCTTAGAGTTTTCATATGTGTGCTTTTTAATAGTCTTTAATGGTTTCTCGCATTTTATTGAACTTGCATTCCATGTATTCCATTTTATTTCTACTTAACTGAAAACTATGACGTGTGGATTCTTACATGTTGCCCCATTGTCCATTCAGTACGTCCAATGCCTAGGTAAAAAGGAGTGGGCGCTGGACCCGTGCTGATTGCTGGTGCAAACCTTGCACCTATAATATTGTTGAAGGAAAATCTTTTGTTACATCTCCATGTATTCCCAAATTGGTTGTTCCATCTTGTATATCTTATATGGCAATAATCTATGCTCTACCAATTCTTATATTTGCCTGATCTTATTAAATGATTTCTCATGCAACATTATTGTAGTTTGTTTTCTAGATCGGTGAAGCTCATGTGTTTGCTATTTTCCTCTTTCCTTCTGTATTTGCTATCAAGCCCAGAAATAGGATTATAGCCTCCATGGTTGGGCTATATTGCATAAGACATTGATTTCTGATAGGCATAATGGATGCCTCTTGTTGTAATTTACTCTTACTACACTTTTCCAGAGTTCCATATTGTTGCGGTTCACTCTCTAGTTTCCATAGTTTTGTATGTCTCACATATTCTTGTTATCTATGTAGCATGGGTGTGGGTTTACCATACCTGTTACAGATATGGTACAAGATACATATAAGAGAGAGAGAGAGAGAGAGTCAACGTATCTAAGAAATTAGATTTTCATATAATAAACATAACAAAATCATATAAAAGATAAAAACACATAAATCTCAGAATATAACATATAACATAAACAGAGCAAAATATCTGTATATTATTGTGAAAACATTTGTAATAAAAGAAATTAAAAAACTCAAATTGGTTTGCTCAATCATGAATGCTTCAAATCTCTCATTCGGTGTTGTTGCTAGTTACATATGGTGTTAGGCAATCTTGTATGGTAAAAGGAGGGATTTAGTTAGGCTATGACAAACTTGCATATGTGGTAACAAGATGGGAGGCATTGTGGTCAGGTTAGATGCTACGTGCGATTGGGATATAAGGGAAGAAGGGGGAAATGAGAGAGGTATGTGCAATCACTTGGGCAGTTTTTGAATGGCCATTGCCACTGGGCAGAGAAGTTCTCCTTTGCTGATTGGTTTTCTTTCATTCTCAGTTTCTATACCTTCTGCAACATCCCCTTGTAATCAGATCACTGTTCTCAAGAGTATTTTTCTCTATTAAGATATGGTGAATTCCATTTACTATCAGTTGGTATCGGAGCTCTGATCTAGGAGCTGATATTGGAATCAATTATGAGAAAAGTGGGAAAGCATTGGAAGGTTGAAATTGTTGAAAATTATCGGAAGATGTTTGAGCATTGGGGAAGAACAAAGATAGTTGAGAAGATTGGTGATTCCCGAATTTGAAGTAAATGAAGCATGTCAGTGGTTGATCAAGGGGGTACTTTGCTGTGACAGGAGCACTTAAGGTAAAAGGCTACTCATGAAGGCAGTGCTCAAGCAGTTCCTACTTGAGTATGACCCAGATATACCAGCCTATGTACCTGATGAAGAGGCAGGATAGCCAAAATTAGAATAATCTGATGGTTTTGGGAGGAAGTGAGGAACATCATAAAAGTGTCACCTGATTCCTCTAGGATTTTATTTCAGTTATATTCCCCCTATTAATCTAACTGATGCCCTAACTGTCGCTAGCTAACTGCACCAACTTTCCTTAACCTCTTTTCCCTTCCCTTATGTCCTAACAGTATCACAAAGGACAAATTGACTAGTTAATTTTGCACTATTACCAATTCAATGTAGGCTTTGGAGAAACATGTCTCGGTTCAAGTTGTTGACAAAGCCATGTTCAAGATCTTAAAAAGTTTGAGCCTTGCATTGCATGTACTATGTAATGATGATGAGTGATTTACCATAGTGCATTCTGGATCTGTTTATTCTGAAAATATTGTGCAAATTTTTGGGGTTTTATGTTTTTAACCATTCATGTTGGATTTCAGATGATTCTTGTATGCTAAATTTCCTTTAATCATTAAACTATCTGTCCTAAATGATGTAAATTTTCATTTATCTGATTTTTTGTATCCAGGATTGGATAGACATTGATTTTGCTATTGCTGAGGGTGTTGATTTCATTGCTATTTCATTTGTCAAGTCTGCTGAAGTTATTACTCATCTTAAAAGCTATATTGCTGCAAGATCTCGTGATAGGTATGTACTGACTCTTTTTTAATTTCTTTTAAAGTATGATCAACATATCATTTCTATTACTATTATTATGTCTCTACTGACAAGTATTACTTTTAATATATACCCCTTTTGTTAGATTAAGGAATCATAAATGACAAGTTGCATTATTAACAGAGCACTATGATTATGGAATTATATCAGATTCAGTTTCATATCCTGTGTTAGATTTATTTCATTCTCTTGACATTTTCTTTTTCGTCCAAAATGTGACTTTCTCTCACTATATTTGGAAGTGACTTGATCCTTTTCTATGGATCTTCATACTGAGTTAGCTAACTTAGCTTTTTTGGCAACTCATCTGAACCAAAAGGCACTATAGGTTGGTAGCGGACTGAAGGGCTCACCTTAAACCCCAGAGGCTCTAACACTTCTGGTGCCTCTTGCCTCAGGGCCTTGGGCATGACTTTTGTACCCTCAAACAAGACTTCCCTTTTGGCTTGATATCACATGAATTTCAGTGAGACACTAGAGGTTATTTATCACCTTTCCTGAACTACAAAAAACACCATATGGTACTAAATAAATTCAACTGACTAAAGGGGCCTTCCCTTAGAATACCAAGAGGCTCTCATGCTCTTTCTGGTTCCATAGCTCGGTGCCTTAGCCATGCCTTTTGGCACCTTTTTCTTTCCATTTTTTTCTGTTTTGTTAATTTTATTTGCTATTTTAGTAAAATAAATAAATTTACTAATGAAAAGGAGAAAGGTACAAATAAAGAGGATATGACATCATCTTAGCAAAACAAAACAAAAACAGCAAAACTAGATATTTCTGAAACATTGGAGCATGCAAGAAACCATGCCAATCTATCTGCATTTTCTGAAAAGGAATTCACTCTAAAAACACCATAAGCAAAACATGATAGGGTGATATTTCTGGTGATGCAGTGATATTTCTGTCATTGCAAAGATAGAAAGTATTGACTCATTGAAGAACTTAGAGGAGATCATTCAAGCATCAGATGGAGCTATGGTGGCACGAGGAGACTTGGGAGCTCAGATACCCTTAGAACAGGTTCCATCTGCTCAACAGAGGATTGTTCAAGTTTGCAGGCAGATGAATAAGCCCGTCATTGTTGCCTCTCAGCTCCTTGAATCCATGATTGAGTATCCTACACCTACAAGAGCTGAAGTTGCAGATGTTTCTGAAGCAGTTAGGCAACGAGCTGATGCCTTGATGCTTTCTGGTGAGTCTGCCATGGGCCAGTACCCTGAGAAGGCCTTAACTGTGTTAAGGAGTGTCAGTTTGAGAATTGAGAAGTGGTGGCGGGAAGAGAAACGCTATGAAGCTATGTCACTCCCATCAGTTGGGACTTCTTTTTCAGAAAAAATATCTGAAGAAATCTGCAATTCAGCAGCTAAGATGGGTAAGCAATCTTCAAGTCTTAAACTTGGTTTATTTTCCTTATTTTGATATTGCAATTTACATTTGTTATGACTTCCACTATTACGTATTTGATTGTTACATCAGCATATACTGTTTAAAAGTTCACAGATAAAATATTTTTTAGAGGTTGTTGTTCTACTTTCCAATTGTTGTTTTATAATCAAGGTAATAGTCTCTCTAAGAATTGTACTACTTTACAATTGCAAATAGTATATTTTGAAATTTGTTTTCAAAAACAGTAACTCATTTTTAGATTTTAAAACAGAAAAAATCAAGGTTGTTTTCCATCTTTTTCAAGTTTCTAAAATAATCTTCTAACATCCAGTCATGACTACCACCCAACAGTCTGTTGTTGCTCACTTAACCCATTCTGTGGAACTGTAACTGGTGTCCTGCCCCTTGCTTCTGCCTCTTTGATCAAAAGACGTTCACAGGGCTGCCATACCCAAACCTATAAGTTGCAGACCCTAAACGGGTCCTGAAACTACTCAAGAATCATCACACACCATCATAGAATGTGTTAACGCCCACCTCTAGCCCAACCATGAGCCACCATACCTTAACCATCTTCCTCCTTGCTGGAATCCATCGTTGCGTCCTTCAATCATGTGTAACGCAGGACCTACAACAAATCACTCCACAATGCTGCAACTCCCTACACTCGTGGGCCTCACCACAAGGCCTACTTTGGGGCCTCCAATGTTGCAAGGCCAGTCTTGCACAAAGTTACACTGCCCAACTATGCAGTTATCTGAAGGGGCAGTGGCATGGAAAAGGAGAGAAAATAGCATTTTGAAAAACAATTTAGCAGAATTTTTTCTTCTCCCCTCCTTGAAATAAATTCTTAAAATCTACCGAACAAAACAGTTTTAACAAACAAAAAACAAAACAAAAATCAGACTGTTCTTTATATGTTGGAAGACTTTTGAATAGTTCAGTATTGTTTGTCTTTTACTCTCTTACAATAATATAAGGACTTCTTACGTTCTTGACAATTGACATTATTTGATGAGCAGTTCTCCGTTTACAGTTTTCATATTTGAAACTGTAATGATTGATGACTTGTTAACACGCTTCATTCTTATATGTAGTTCAGTTTTTTCTCATGCTCAAGAGAACCAGAGAGCTCTTGTTTTTTTTCAGTTTTTTTATTCTTGAGTTGTTTGGTCCAATGGTGTATGCTGATGAGTTTCAACTTTGGCAGCCAACAATCTAGAGGTGGATGCACTTTTTGTGTACACAAAGACAGGGCACATGGCATCTCTATTGTCACGATGCCGTCCTGACTGCCCAATCTTTGCTTTCACTACCACTCCATCAGTGCGTAGGCGTCTGAACCTCCAGTGGGGCTTGATACCGTTCCGTTTGAGCTTCTCCGATGATATGGAGAGCAATCTCAATAGAACATTTTCATTGCTCAAGGCCAGAAATCTGATCAAATCAGGTGACCTTGTCATTGGTGTCTCAGATATGTTGCAGTCAATACAAGTGATGAATGTTCCTTGAGAACACGTTTCATTTCTTCTGAAAGCCAACGTTGCCCTTTTTCAAAACCTGGGATCTAGAGTGCTATAATGGAGCAGAGGCTACATGAAAGAATTCTGTAGTTCTGTAATTTAAATCTAAAGGATGCAACTAAAGTTTGGGTCAATTTATGTTTATGCCCCCTAGAGTTCTTTATTTGGTCTACTCCTTCAAGCTCTACATATCTTTTTTAGTCTGCTGAGGCAATATAGTGCAATATTTATCCTTTCAAGTTGTGAGGCACATGCGTTTTCTAAGTTTTGTATCATTGTATTAGCTTTCCACTTCCATATGGAGTAAAATGTGAAAAGTTTCAATAAAGATTCTTCAGTAGTCACTAATCTGTATGGAACCGTGTCAGATGCTCAATGTATGCATGCTGCAAATTGTGTATGCACCTCATTACCAATTTCTTTAGTTGCTTCACTGGACAATATTAGAATATGATACTTTAAAGATTCTCGTACTTTGATTGACGAATGTAAGCCCATACAGTTGATTGAGGAAAGGAAAAACGTAACTTTACCAAAGCAACATTCTTCAGCGTTCACGTTGTCTAGGATTGGCTTTGAGCAGTAGCTTATTCAGTTCAGTTTTTTCTTTTGGTCTTTATCACTTTAGTTGGTTCCTTGAGGGCAAAAGCATGTAGAATGCACGCCACAAAGCCACTCAATGATTAAATCATAAGCGGATACTTCAAAGGTTTGAGGTGTTAGCTCATTCAGGAAGAAATTGTTAAAAGGTCTGAGTTTGACAAATTTATTCTTCCAAGAAAATGGTGAGACAGTGTCCATACTTACAGAGCGTAATGCTCACTTTAGAACGTTCTTTACTTTTCAAATGAGTGGGTTTCCGTAAATATACTTTATAAAGAATAGTATTATTCAGCCCTTCTCTTTCTCATCTACCTGACACCAATATATATGGCAAAGGAAAAATCAAATTGATGGATTATGCCACAAGCGATCATATAGTGTGAATAAGGCCCTAATGTCATTAGTACCGAAACGTGTCCCCTAATTATTTATTTTTATTCATATTGTTGGAAGCCTGGATTTGAAGCAAGGTGTTGTTGGGCTTTCTTCACACCAATTTAAAAAGTGAAAGGTAATTACTTGACGGCAAATAATGCAAATCCCTGATCAAATTTAATGGGAAGGTGCATTGTCCTACTTACAAAGATTTCATCAAGGCGCATAAGTTAGCACGTTATTGGAAAAAAAAAACATCGATAATATATCATCTATGACATTTGTAATTGTTAAAAAATAGATCAGCTTTTGATATTTTGAAATTCATTTTGTTATGTTATTAGTAAGTGAAAAAAATGTTAATAAAATTTGTAAACTTATTTTTATATAAAAAAAACAACATACTTTTAAAAATGTTGTAAAATGTTACATGAATGATGTAATGTACTATTATTTTAATAAATTCTGCACAGAGGTGATTCCTATAATATAAATGAACTTATTTAATGTCATCTGCCTCGTAAATGAACTTAATTGCGATCAGTAACTAAAATTTTTTACTGGGTCATTTTTTATTTCTCATATATGATCCTTTAAACAGGTACCTTCCTTGGCTTGTTTGTCTTGCAGCACAACCCCACCCAGAAAGGGTAAAGTGCCAAAAAGGAAGAGTGAGAAAAAGATGTGGGATGTGTAAGTGACCTTAACTACATTGATAAAAGTCATATGTGCAGTATTATAAGTCTTTTAAGCTGCTGCAAAGTAATGCAAGAACTACAGATGTAGTAGCTCTTTAACTTTTACAATTAAAATTTGAATAGTAGTACAACTGCTCTTTTTGTTCCTTCTTTATTGTTCTTTTCTCTTTAACTTGAACCCCCCAAAGAACATAAAGATACACATAGAACAAACGAAAGAAGAAATGAAATAAATAAAAAGAGAGCCCCACCGTTTAAATAACCAAAATATCAAAGGAGAGAGGATGCTTATCTTCATATTAATTTTACATGTATATCCAATGCATCCATCCATGTACCAATATATCTATCTCATGTTAAAGACACAACCTATAAGGTGCCTAATGTTATCCTCACATTATTTCAGTCACATTGTTTACACAATTGCATGCATGTTTAGTTCAGCAATTTTTTGGAGATGAACTTGTTCTTTAAAAAAGTACTTTTCAAAAATTGTTTATTTCTTTAAAATAAATTAGTCTAAACATGCAATACAGTACACGTATAATAGCAAGAGTTTGATTGAACTAACTTGAGTTAGTTTAGCCAGACTACAATGAATTTATGTGTGCTGCACTGCACTAAATACGCATTTAAGTACTGCAAAAAATATTTTTTTTTATATCACTGAGTAACTAGAATGTTGTGTTAGTGTGTGAGTCAGAAGTATCCTAGTGCAATCAATTGAAACCACATAGTAAAGTGGCCTTCAACTTACCGCACAAGGCCAACAGATTCGGCTCAAACTATCAAACTCCAACTCCATAATTTAGTGGACCCACATTTGCAATTGCAAGTTGGGGAAAAGGATGTGAAGGTGACTTGAAAACTTGAAAGCACCATATAACACCTGCTACACTACCCATTATTATGGTCACTGACAAATGACATAAGGTCCTTACAGTCTTCAAGTTAATCCCAAATTGGGTTTGGTTAGTAAATATCCACACAAAGATCATCCAAACTGAACATCTGATCATCACACGTGAGAAGATATTCTTTGCTGAGGTTGAAATCACTTGATTCAAACTGGTAGTTAAGTCATCTAAGAAAAACCCTTTTTTAAGGATTTATAATTTTGTGAAATTCTTAGCATCATCATGAATGGGCCCCATTTGTAACACCATTAAGTGGCTCATAGATATAGCATCAGCCATGACTCTTTCAGCCCATGTGTGTAACATCATCATAGAACAGTTAAATGTGCCATTATTTGAGCACAATAACCTAGACCTCAATTCAAATAAAGGGTACAACGTTAGCATGAAGCCCTTTGTTTGGCTTTTGACATGGGAAAACCAGAAATCCCAAACAAGAATCTCACAAGAATCCCAAAGATGGTTTTGGTGACCATAAGCATGGACTGGGGTTTGGAGCATCATGTCCTGTTTGGCCTTCCTTATCAAACACTTTGTGTCCTCATCAGTCATCATCGCACATTTTATTTTATTTATCTACCTGTAAAAATTAATATTGTTGAGACACCAACTTTTGTTGCAATTGATACAAACAAATACAAAGCTCTTAATAGTTAAAATAACCCACGATGAACGCCATTAATCATGATGACAGGCCACACATTTGAATGTGGTGTGTTGATCATATTCACAACAAATACACTCCATACGAAATATAAAAATAAAAGATAAAAAGATCTTTAATTTGCTTTAATTAAATAAGGAAAATCAACCCATAGGATGCGTTCAAACGTCTCTTAAGTAAGAAGATTGAGCAAGTACAATCAGAATGATTGCGGTAGAGCCATTATATAATTTACCTACATTCATTATTCACTAATTTATATCAGCAAGGCACCGCAATAACATCATAGATATACTGACAAGAAAGAGGGTTTGAATTGATAAATATTGTCCTTGGACAATAGCTGCTATAGCATATCAATTAGTGGAACTAACAAGGTCAAACAAAGCATATTTTATTTTTTGTAACTCTTAGAAATCAAATATTTGCAATCAAGAAAAGTGGGTCCAATTTCACGTGGCACATTGTTTCAAATAATATAAACATGACATTGCAAACAGTTCTCGTAGGTGAGCAATATATACACTTGACTAGGTATACGGGTAAATACTAAATGATGCTTTGGTAGGCCAACAATTGAGGTACTTTGGGGGAATGTGGACAGTGACAACTATGTCTGACAATAACCTCTCTATTCGGCTAAGTGGTTAAATGGTGGATGGCTCTTCTTTAGTTTTCGGTTGCTTCTGTGGGGTGGTCACCCACATTTTTGACTCTCTACATGATCATGCTTTTAGATCAATACTTATTTGTGATGTGTTTTGAAGATGACTTTGTGTTCTGATTGGTTAACTGTATCAAAGAGGAGGGTATGACTTGTGTAGTGTAGGGATAAGGTCATAAAAAAAAAGATAAGGCACATTTATATTTTTCTAATTTCTTTTATAAACTTTGCCTGGGAAATGGTGCAACATCATATATATATTTGCAACTTTCCATTTTCAAATGTTAGGGAAAATTCTAGTTTACCTATTAGAGAGAGAGGGTCAACTTAGCCTTAGAAACACTTTCAAGGGAATGAAAGATTTCAAGTAATTGTCATATAAAAAGTACATAGTATGGTGTTAACAGTGTGTATTTTTTGTGAGACAATGGAAGCCACATGGTGACATGGATAAATCCTTAAATACGTAACTTCTTGATTCTATGAAAGTTATTAAATTTGACAAAGCGCCAAATAAGTTTACTCTGCATACTTCATTGCCAATCAAGTAAAAACGTTTACTTTGATTGATCTAGACATTCCATAGAAAATATGACATTAGATCCTCCTACACCTAAAGTTAAGAGCACGTCAATAAAGTGAAAATTGAAAGAAACGAAAATAGTAAGTGAAAACTAACCTAAACCTACTTATGGTTAAGTTTATCGAAAAATGAAAACAAGAGGTCCCAAAAATAAGTTCATGCATGGAAATTACCCTTCTCTTCTATCCTTCACAAAATTCTATGCTCTATTTTTTCTCTTTACTATCTTATCCGTCATGTAATCGATACAAATAAAAAAAAAAGTAATTATTATAGTATTTATAAATTTGATAGGATATTCTATAATCTCTTCAAATTAACAATGTGATTCTTTTGATATTTTAAAGATAAAAAAGTATTAATATTTTTTAATTAAATTACTAATTTTATTATTTATTAATATAAAATTTATTTAACGTATAAGAGAGTGTACTTAATTCTCTCAATTATAAGAGGTATCTTAAATTTTATCATTAAAAAAATAGTGTCATTAATTACTCTAATTTGTTATATTATTTTCCTCCATTTTTTTTATTATTTTAATAAAATTCAATATATTTTCTTCTTCTTTTCTGTTTTTTCGCTTTTAATTAAAGGTTTCCTTTGCTTTAAATTCTTTTTAATTTGAGATGTTTAAGGTTTTCTTAGATGGATGATTGGATCTATGTGTGTTGTAAAATTCAATGTATATGTTTTCTTATCCATCTACGTATACGCTAGCAATTTTGGCTTTTCCCCATGAAAATCGTCTTATTGCTTTCGATGACACTGTTTTAATATTAATATAGAATATATTTCATTAATTATATCTAATCGCTCATAGACTTTGAATTAGTAAACCGTAATTCGTCCTCTCAAACTAGTCAAGGTTCAAGATTCTGTCATTAATAAATAATCATGATTAGTTAATTAAAACTGTAGCATTTTCCACCTCTCTATTAATTCCTGTAACATCCACTGAAATTAAGCCACATGATCAAGATGAGAAACAAATCCAGAATTAAAATATTTTAAAGGTCCTAATCA